AGGGGGCCTGTCAAGGCTTATATTGTACAGTAGGTTCGTGCACGGATGTGAACAGTCTACAGATTTGGGGGCTGTTTCAGCTCTAAATTATTGAGACTGATTTTGCGGATTCTGTTACGTGTTTTAGATATCACGGATTACTGCCATTACTTGCTGGGTATCACTGTATTAAATATAGAAAACTCCACAGAAAGACAGAACCTTTTATGAAAAAGTCCCCTACATCTTCCCTAGGGGTTTGGTTTTCTCTCTGCCCCTGTGCACTGGTGCCTCATCTCCTTCTTCCACAGGTATTTGCTTTTAGCCTTCTCTCCTAAACTTTTTTTGCTGCATGAAGTTACACACATGAGAAGACAGCATACCGTGTTGTTGCAATGCTGTCTTCTCTGAGGGTCCTGTGAACACAGGGGTAACTGGGAGGGAATCACAGTCCTGCAAGGTCCAAAGCAGCAGGGATTTTTCCACAAAAGCAGCCACATAAGTTAAATCTAGTTCAATCACCTACCTTGCTAGGACGACAGAGTCAGCAGTTCGATCGTAAGAGGTGGTGGTTGTATTACCATATGCTCTTGAGCCATTGTGAGTTCAGGCTTCCATAGGTGTTTCTTCTCAGGGAAACAAGCATGTGATATAGGACACAATATAAGACAAAAATTTACTTCTGTGAACAAAGGCATTCCCCAGGCTTTTAACTACTGTCAGAGAGAGAATATTGAGATAGGTGGCCCTTAGTCCTCACACAGTGGATACTCTCATGTTCTGTAGCTAGGAAGTAGTTGCAGTAGTAAATAAGAAATATGTTATTTTATTAAAAACAGAGAGTGGTGTGTAACATTATTTTTCAGTACTCTGTTCTTCGTATAAATGCTTGTTACTTATGCAGTTTAATTACTTGAAGGGATTCTGTTAATTTTCAGAGTATTATATTAAAATACAAACATTGATGCTTTATAGCCTTTTAGACTTTCCAGTAGTAGATCAATTATGGCTGGGTAAGTATGACAAAACGGTGATTAATATCAGAATTTCAAAATGTACCTAACAGTGAACAGTTGTTGAGGATTTAAAAACTGAATGCACAGTCACCTTGACCGCTTCCCTGAGCCTTGACGTCTCCCTTTAAAAACTACTTTTCAGCTTCTTCGCATCCTTGTCCAGGGAGATAGCAGGTTCATAAACTTCAGTAATTGCAACCAGTGCGAATTTCTTAAGTACGACTAATCATTACCATTTCTTACCAAAAATGGACTTATTCCCAGCCAAGACTTTATTAATTTTAATATGAAAACATCTACACCTATCATGTCTCCCCTGAGGTCTTCCTAGACTGCTGCAGAAATGGAATCTGACTTCTATTGCTTTGGCTAGAGTTGAGCATGTGAATTCCTCAGGCTAATTGCTTTTTGGATAACCTACAAAACACCAGCGGTCGGATTCTTGGCCTTGTAACATTCCTTTACACTGCTCTGGCTTGATGCCGTGGCTCCCATCATGGGGAATCCCAGGAGGAAAGTGGTACAAGGTCAGGGTATCCCTGACTTCAGATACCCACATTTTCTCAGCTGCTGCGCAATACGGCAATAAACGTAAGCAACCTTAAAACTGCTCAGACTTAAATGGAGGGTTGAAATGGCGCCCAACAGGATGCTTCTGCCCAGCAAAAACTTTACTCTCAGTTGATTGACCTCAGGTAGGAAGCATCTGTAGGATCATTTTATGTTAGCAATGAGCTGGAGGGTATTTTGAGAATGTGATAAGATGTGGGAAAGTGCAGAGAGTTATACAGGGAGGTAAGCTTGTGGGGCAGGAGACAGATAAGCTTGAGAAGCAAGGCCATGGGAACAGGGTGAGACAGGGAGCTTGTATGGTAGACAAAGAACTTGTGTTTAATTTACATGGAAGCTATGCATGGCATAAACACCTATCAGAATCCTTGCTAAGGGGCATGATAGTCGCATGGACAGTACATGTAACCAATTAGAGCTTGAGCGAGCGCGTGTATGGAAGTAGAAAGCAGTATATAAGATGTAGCCTTCTGATTAATAAAGGACTTCTCTGATCATCATATTGGTGTGCTGAGTTGTCCATGCCTCGCATGAACAAAGAACCCCACAGCATCTGGTGACTTAAGCGAAGATATGCGATGGATACATTTTCTAAAACGTTGACCAGGCATTTGCTCCCCTGGGAAACAGTTTTTAAGTTTTGATAGTTCTGTGCAGTCTGACAAACACACCTTAGTAGTGCAGGTGAACATTACCAGAGTCAAAGAGAGCACAGACGTGCACACACATGCTATTTTAGGCTGCCTTTTCTGTCCGGGGCAATTAGGGAAAACCAGAAACCAGCCACTGTAAACTTTGTCTATTAACGAAGCTAAAGTACCACCACCTTGCGTATATCCTAAAAAAACCATGTCAATCTGTAGCCATGAGGTTGGTTTTGTACCACGTCTGTGGCATGTGAGATATGAAATTGTTCAGCTGCATCCAGGGAACTGAGGAACAGGAAGAGCATATCTCCAAGTCATCACTGACCTGCCTCTCATCCTGCTTGTATGATGCTATCACATAAACTCTATAGAGTAACATGATATTTGCCTGAAGGTACAGGCAAATATCTCTAAAAATTTTATCCTCCCTTATTGGTGCACCAGACTAATCCTGAAACTTGTTCTGACAATCATCGCCTAACGATGCTACATGGAGGATTTTCACCCATCATATTAGGGAGATCTTGACAACAAAGGGGGGCATGTGTGGAATTCTCCACCCATGTAACCAGAAGGTAAATCTTTCTTACTCCACAATAGAGCTGCGGCCCTTGTGCACGCAGAGTTTGGTGGAGATGGGAATGCTGTCCCCCAAAAAGTTAGTACTACCTGTCATCTGGTTATGTGGCTGTTTCTTCTCACTAATACCACAGAAAAGAGCAAGTTTGTGGCAAGAGGTAGAGGCAAAATGTTAATGAGCAGCTGAGGTGCTGCCAGAGAAGGTGGGTAGAGCCCCTGTGGGCTTTACACTGGCTCACTGGGTACAGGAGGTTTTGCATCCAGCGTAGGCTCCAAGCTGCAGATTGAGGTGGGAATACCCCCATAAACTTTGCCTTTGAAACCTTCTTTGTTAACCAGACTATTTCTAAACCAGTAACACTCTCTCCTACCAATAATAAAAAAAAAAGCATTGTCAGTTTTTAGTCAACAGCCAAAAAAACCAAACCCCAAAGCTGCAGCATTTTAATCTCTTGGAGGAAATACATCAGGTGCCAGGTCTGGGATTTGTGAGGGGAAGGAGCAACGTGGTTTTACACAAGTGTGCCCTGCTCTCTCAAGCAGCCAGACCGGTGGTCCAATAATGCAGGAGGTATACCCGACTGTACTTGTGTGACCCCTCCGGTCAGCCCATGCTGGGGCTGATGTGCTCTAGGAGGAGCCACATCTGTCCTTGCTCTCGGGAATGGAGGTCATCAGCCTGCCAGGCTTTCCAGGAAAGAGGGAGTGGCCGGAGAGTCTTGAGTTACTGAGTGTGGACCACCTGGCAAATAGAGTGCGGTGAGCACACACTTGTCCTACCTCTAGACACTCCACAGTAAGGAGTAAGGGATGCTGAATTGGCTTTGAACTCCCACCCAAACTGACTTTGAAGAAATGGAAGGGCAGGCAAGTAACATGCATGTTCTGTTATGAAAAAATGGCACTAATATTTCTGCTTTTTCGTTGGTAATAGAGGTTGGTTCAGATTACAATATTTGGATCTAGACTTGAAACAAATAGGTGTTTGAGTCTATTTGGGGACAAGGACTGATTGTGAAGCTCGGACCTTGACCCAGGTTCTGACCAAGAGTGCCCTGCAACTTTGATGTCTTTCTAGCTCTGACAGAGAAAAAAGGAAAAAACTTAATTTCTCTCTGCATTAGAGAGAAAGTATATTTATAATACTGCCACTTTTTGGTGACTGGGGAAAAAATCCTAGTCTCAGGCAAAGTTGGGAAATAGCTATCTTTTATTTCAAGGAATCAGGGTCGTAAAAATTATAGCTGTAAAACACACAGCAGCCTGAACCCTCTACATAAAACCTCTTGTATTTTGTGCCTCCTTTTCTATTTCAGGTCTTCATTTGCCTAATTACTACTCAGAGGCTGGCAGAGATTTTCCCTGCAGCGCTCAGCTCTGCTGACTGCAGAGACCCTACCTGGCACACTAAGTTAGTGCGTCAGCGTTTTAGGTAGAAATGAATGAAAAATCAATCAGGGCAACTGCAGTGGTAGCATATACAACTCTAACCTACTTTGTGCATGGTTTCGAACATTTCATTGTGTATTTAGCCATCTTTTAAAATGGTAAGTGGATCTGAAATAAAATAGATCTTTCTAGTCAGCCTGAGAAATGTTTTGTCATCTTTACTGCTTAGCTCAAGAAAACTTACCACTCTGACTGCTAAGTTAACTTGCAGTCTTGATTGAAATGCCAAAACCTATGAGAAGATTGTTTTAATCTTGAAAATCTGAGAAGATTGTTTTAATCTTGAAAATCTTATCACCAGCAGATTGCATCATGCAGTGGCTATAGATATAGTGATAGCTTTGATTATTTTAACTGTATTTACAGACAGTAAGAGTATATCTGGAAAAGCAAAAGTACACTAGAATCTTTTCTGAAACACAGGTATTGCTTACATATGGTCTTGTAAGGAATTTAGTTTATGGATATTTGTGTCTGTACCTTTATTTTTTCATACTGTATTTCTGAATAGGCAGAGTTAAATATGGATTGCCAGTTTCATTTAATGAAAGTCCATGATAAAAAGGTCCAGTCTTCATGCCTAAAAAATTAGTAGCTGTTGTAACTTTTTCAGCTGAGTGGCTTAAATAAGTTATAGATCCCTCATAAGAACATTGCTGTAACAAGCTGTGCAGTGCCACACTGCAAAGGTTTCCAAAAATTCACAAGCCTCTTTGTATGTGATGCCCTTACAGTGAAGAAGATTCTTTTGACTACAAAGATGAAGAGCCTACTTTTTCTGGTGCTGATTTCTGTGTGCTGGGCTGAACTTCACCCTGGCAACTCAAGTCTGGAGCATGAAAGAATTATTCACATTCAAGGTAAGGAAATATGTGAGAAAATACAGGTATCTTCATATTGCTGAAGGAAACAGAATAATGTGCTTAATGATCCTTAATTTTTTATTCTGCTACACTGTTTTTTTAAATACTATTATTACTGGTGACCAACCTTTTTCTTTTCTGGTTCCGTTGCATTATTATTACTCCTAAGGAAAGTAAAAAAATGAAAGTTGCACTGTTCAATAGCACTTTGTGACAACCTTGCAAAGAAGTACAGCATGATTTAAGATAAATAAAGAAAACGTGCATCCTGAAGTAATAAGCAACTGCAATGGGTTGAAATATCTTTATTTTATTGTGGAATACATTTGATTTTAAGAAGATTGTCATATACAGTTCTTCACATTAAAGAAATGTATTGCTGTTTATTATTTTAAAAAGCTCAGCAGATCTGAGATCATAATTGGGCAATTTAAACCAGAAAAAAAACCAACGTAACTTACCCCAAAAGAAATGTGTCTTTCCTCATACCTTTAATTCACACTAAGTATTATATTGCCCTTCTGCTTAATCCTGTTTGGTTCACGTTTGAATCCGAGAGCTTATAGCTGTAGCAGGATTTGAGTCTGCAGTACAATGCAGCTGTTTTTTCAGTCCCAGCTTCAGTCGTGGAGGATCATCCTGTATAAGAAAAAAATGGGGATTTATGGAGTAAGGACAGGCAGAACTAACAGGGATTTTCCTGCTTTCATTTATATGGTTCTTGAGGCTGGCTAAAATTAATCTTGCCAAATTAAGTAATGCAGCTTTATTGTTCTCTCTCTCCCTTTAAAGTTTGATTCATTTCCCTCAACAGCTGGGAAATTGTTTTATTTGAGTATTTGTGTAAATATGAATTACCAAGTTAGGGCAGGTTACTAAGAAAGTCTGTGTATGTAGAAGTTCACAGGAAAGTCACAGAAGTTAAAGGTACCCTGCACCTATTAAAACAGGCACTCAGATTGTCAAGGTCAAATAAAGAATGACAGATAGTTGGTTTCACTCTAAGAAAACTCACAGGATGAAGGTCAAATGAATGTGTTACGTCAAAATGAAGACATATCACTGTTGTGCGATGGTGAACATTCGTTCCCCAGGGTAAATTTCAAATTTCACATCAACGTCTAATAAATGTTTGCCTTTCCTTGTATAATGCAGTTTCTTATCTCTGAACTTTATTTATCTTTTTGGAAGATTAAATTAGTGGAAATATTTAAACCAAATCAAAGTTATTTTTCTTTAATCTGTGTGTGTTAAACTTGCTTCTTCAGCAGTTTAGTGTGATTCGCAAGTCATACGTGTTGCTTATTACTAGTCCTTCAGCATATGTACAGTGCAGTCTGCAAGTGCTAAATAGTTCAAAGCTGATAAAAGTTTCAGGATGGACCATTCTCCTTACCCATGAAAACTCGTTTGCATCTCAAGAGTTTATTCCATCAAGGAAAGCTGAATAAAACTTAAGCTTGAGCTCTGCCATGACTTTTGTACATCAGCTGATTCAGGGTCTGAAATACACAGGCCACAAATCAAAAAGAATAAAACTGCTTGGAACTTGGTATTTTTGCTATTAATATTTTTCATTCCTCTCTGCATTGTGGAATCCCGTCAGGGCTGGGATTCCACTCTACCCAATGCTGCATAAATACATACGATGATCTACACCTGGAAACAAGCTGCAAATCAGGAAAGCCTGTGGAACACATGTGTTGCAGCTTCATACAAAAGGTATTTTACATCACATTATGCAGTGTAGCATCCCTCTCTGCAGCTGAAATCCAAAAGATATACAGCTAAACTCCTCCTGGATTGCATGCTTTGGAATGCCTTGGAATAACAAAAGGTGCGGGTAGATGGATGTTAGAGCTGAAAGCGATCTCCTGAGGCAATGAACTAAACTATCTTCTATTCCGCTTTCTTTACATCATGTAATCTCCTGTAGGTTTAGTGTAATTTTTAAAAAAGCTAGGTTTCAAATCTCATTACTGCAATGTAGTTTTGGACTCTGTTTTTCTGATATGGAAAACACTGTCCTGATTCTCTGTGTTTATTCACAGCCTTTGTATGGCCTTACTCTTCTTCTAGTGTTGTTCTTTAGCCTCAGGCAACAATTTTTCTTTGTGTTGTTCCTTAGTTCCCAATAATAATTTTTCTTCTTTGGTGTTCACTTGAAAACATTAACAAGATAACACCATATCCTTACAGGTGTTATTTGAGCAAAGTTTTTCAAATTCTTTTCTAAGTGTATAACCTCCAGTTACCTGATAATGTTAGTAGTTCGTCTCTAGACTGGTTCTTGTTTGAATTTATACTTCTTGAATGCACCCAGTCAGGATTTTATTCCAGATAAGATCTTGGGCTGGCATTGTTATTTTTTGTTTTCCAGCTACCAATGCTTTGTTTTCAGACCTTGGATTGAATTTGTGCACTTCCCAGCCATGCTGCAGTGCTGATCGATAGTCTGTTGTGAAAGACAATATTTAGCAGTTATTCTCCCTCATTATCACTTGCAATTAACAAGCACAAGGTTTATATCAATAATTCTTCATACTAGGCCTTAAAAATCTAGTTTCTGCATTCAGTATTAAATGTTTTCATACTTTTTCCACTCTTCTTTCTTCAAACATTCTAAATACCCATTCTCCTCCATTCAGTGATGCTTAATACAATATGTGAAAATTTTATTAATTCAATAGTGGCATTTATTTTAGAAGGTAAAATTAGTGGAAATATTAAAAAGTCTCAAAAACTATACTGGAGACAGTTCACTGAGTTTTTTCTAGGCTAATCATTTATGTTTCAGCCCAACCAACTGCAGTCTCCTCTGTGTCTAGTTCTTAGACACTTAACGAACTTTCTACCAAAACACCTGTTTTCTCCATCCTGGCTAGTATCTTATATTTCCCGTATCACTCAATTCCCTGAGGTCCAAGCAATTGATACATCACATTTGCCTGGCCTTATGCATTTATTTTTATTATACAGTTGATATCAAATTAGTCTGACAGCCTTTGGTAAGTATCTACTGCATTTTATCCCTCTTTATAGTGACTTACTCTATTTCTGTCCTTCAACAATTTTTCTTCGAAAACTGCTCAAAGGTCCTGTTTGCTGTTGAGGTCAGACGAATGAGCTTGTCAACGGTTAAATTACTTTCCTTACATATATTTTTGGTTTTGCTGTTGTCCAGAAACACGTGGTACCATTCTTAAAGCGACAGATGAGCTAGTATCTCTGCCATCAGGTTTGCCATACCAAGTGTCAGTAGTAACGGCAGTACTTCAAGCTGTGAGGTTTTCTACCCTTTTCTTTGAAGAGGCTATGTTTTCTGAGTTCAGCTTTCATCTTTCTGTTTTCATTTCATATCAATGCATTCATGTACTTTAAACAAGATCATGCTTTCAGAGCATCAAAACCAACATTATTGAAAATAGAAGATTTGTTAATATAGCACTTGAATCGTTTCTCTGCTGTCTTCCACCTTTATCTGTATAGTGACTCTATACTACAAAATGAACCTGTGCCTGTTTGAAAGACTCTTTTTCACTGCTACAGTAAGATCTTTTACAATCCTTCCTACTTTTGATCCATGCTCCATTTTGTCCTCACAATCATTTCTTGTTTATTCACAACCAGTTAAAGCACTAATGTACAGTGTCATCTCACCACCTTTATCTTTCATTTAGCCTCATTCCACACAGTGAAACTGGACCTCAGTCAAATTTCTCATCTCTTAGACACTTTTACCTCCCTACCTTTACCAATGTTCCTTTCTGCATCTTCCTTCTGGCCCACTTCTTTTGTTTTGGTTTGGTTTGTTGTTTTTTGTTGTTGTTGTTGTTGTTGTTTTACTCCAATATCTATGAGCAAAATTTATAAAATATCTAAAGCTGCATTTTATCTCTTCCGTGACTTTATATCCTTTCCTGAAGCCTGTGGTGGATTTCATTGTTTTGGTCAGGCTGCTTGACCATAACACCTTCCTCTCTGGTAGTTTGTCTGCATACAAAAGTCGTGCCAGTGTAACTTTTGTGGTTAAAAGCAAATGAGAGAACTATATTTATGTAAGATATGCTGTCCCACTTCCCCCCTGCCCCCAGCCCAGTACACTGTGTGTTTCTTAGGGGATATCAGTTTCACTCTTTAGAAAAGATCATAATCCTCAATGAAATCATCTGGTGAACATGAAAATGGGACAAAACTATACCCTAGCCACATAAGTGTCCACAACTAGCATATCAATGTAATCAAAGACTCATATTTTTCTCTGAAGTCAAGATCTGTGAAGGACTCTGTGACCCATGAGAGAGGAAGGTGATTCTTTTTAGTGCTCAGCTTTGTCTATCTCTCTAATCTATTCATAGTGCTAGTTGCTGGCCAATTATTCGAGGAGGCAGAGTACCCTTCAGAGATAAGAGCATTCTTCTGTGTGTGGCTGTTCTGCAAAATAAACAAAGTTGACTAAGCCATTACAGTAATTGTCAAGTTAATTACTTAAGGGGGGCAGGAGCCTTTAACATATCCCTCTGGTTTGTTCAGGTTTTCAAGAGGCAACAAGAAAGGCCAGTGAAGAGAATACAAAGTTTGGTTTGTGAAGAATCAACCTTTAACTTTTTAGCTTTCCCTCGAATATAAGTGAATTTATATCACGCAGCATTTCTTTGCCTTTCAGATACAGGAATACACCAATTTGCCTATCAAGATCTCTGCACAGATTTATTTATACATGCCAAGGAATATGTCAACATGGAATGAACAGAAAACTTTCTGATATTGCCTTATTGAAAAAAAAAAAAAAAAAAGACATCTAAATCAATTAATCAGTAACAAAGGCAGAAGAAATCTTTGCCCAACTTGTTCTGCATGATAATGAGTTTTATTTACAGTCCACTTCCTTCAAAACAAGCCAGAACCAACAGAGAGAAAGAAGCTGCACAGACATGCTGGACTAGCTAAAAACATGGCGAGAGATTAGATGCACTGCTGACTTGACCTCTTACATT